TACCCATAAATGAAAAGAAAATACGATAAGAACATTGTTGAAAAATCCTTTGTAGAATTTTTAGGGATGAATTGGATGATGGTGCAAAGGGAGTCCCTGTTTATAAACTGTTTGCATCAAAGCATCTGTTTTGCAAAGGTCGTGACTGAAAAACACTCAGACATTGCATTATTTCATGTAGGCTAGCAACGATGAAATATACCAATCTAGTTCAGTACTAAATGCTCTTGGGACTTTTTGAGCGAGAAGAAATCTTGTTTTGGTGTGGTGTTTGTGTGAATAATAAAAATTGTAGAAGCCGATGAAGAAATCATATATGAGAAGAAACCATATATGATCTTCAAAGTTGTCCTCCTTTATGCTCAGATTCTCAATGCTTAATTGAAAATAGGTCTTGGTCAATCGGTGAGCGTTATCTTTTTGTGATAGCAGAGGTCTGCCACCTTTATATAGACAATTAATGTATTGTTGTAGGTCTATTTAACTGAAGAATTATAGAGGAGAGAGAGGTGTGATACACATAGAAAGAGAGAGATTTGGTTCTAAGGTATGTGTTATCTAACCTCATTGTGTCTTTATTTATAGTAGGAGAGAAGGTAAATCCTGGACCCTTTAGATAATACAACTAAAATAGGACACATTCTAAAAGATACAATAGACTCTCGATAGGATTTACACAATCATATTCCTAACCTAATTACTTCCTTTTAAGTATGTAAATACTCAAACAAAAAAATGCGGTAGGAGTCCATCTATGAAGGTCATGATGGTCACAATTTGGAGATGGCATTCAAATTTGGACACAAGACAACAAATCATCACCAACGTATGGACAAAGGTAGCACAAACTTTTGCTTAGTTTCAATTCCATGATACAGTCTGGTGGGAATTTTTACATACTACCATCAACAAGAGGTTGAGTGAAAGAAATGAATTGTTAAGTGTTTTAAATTTTAATTGCACTCTTTGGGTATCCTAATAATATAGTTTGAGTTCAAGAGATTGCCAACTTCCGTACATTCTATGCAACAAATTTGTTAGCAAGTTCGAAGAAGAAAACAAAGCATTGCAAGAAAGAATAGTTGCTACACTACGCAATTTGGCTTGAAGTTTACTCAAATAAAACTTGAGGAAGAGTTTTTCAAGAAGATGAATACGATGCAGTACATTACAATATAAGTATGGTCCCTATATTAAATATGGATATCGGTGGCTTCTCATTTATCAAAGTCACGGTTTTTATTAGGTTGCATTGTAACTGTATTATGTTTTCTTTAGATTTAATTATCTCTTATATCAATGAAATATATCTTCCTATTTAAAGGGCTCCATATGTAAGTTTAGACAGACTTAAATGAATTGAAAGATGTATTTACTGTGTGCAATTGAAGTGAATAAATGTCTCTTCCTTCTAAATCAAGCGTTTAGCTTGGTCATATGAGTGAATCTATGATTAGTGACATCGAGCGAATCTATTGCCCCTAGTTGAGTGATTTTCAAGTGATATATCCCTTGTCTCCCTGAGACTCCTTGATTCTTCACGCATCACATTTCCTCAGGTATTTTACATGTCTGCAATGCAATTTAGTTTTTGTTAATGCCTTGGTAAGTTGTTCCATAATAGTACTACCAAAATATATGAACATCTTCATTCCATATTTCCTGGTTTATTTAACTTTTTTTATGCTCAAGCCAGGCTTCACTTTCTTCTGAATCGAGCTGAGCTTGAATTAGCCTATAAACTCAAGCTTGATACCAAGCTTAAGTTGTTTTGAGCCATTTCCTTCGTGAAAGTTCTTCTCACCGGTGTGTGAAAGTTTCCCGATTCCGGCAATCTCTTTGCCGCCGACCCTAGTTATGATTTGGGTCGGTGGCAGTCCCCCTTTTCCTTCTCTTTCCTATTTCCTTTTACTTCCTTTCTTTTCAGTCTGCTTCTTCCTTTGCTTTTTGGCCTGCTCGCCCCTTTCCTCTACCCTTTCTTGCCTTTGATTGTTCTGTCCTCAGCCCTCATTTCTCTCTTTGTTGTCCATCCTCCCTCATGCTTCTCCTCTTTTCGTTGCATTCCCTTTCCTATTTCCTTTCCGTTTTCCCTCTCCTTCCCCTCTCTGTTGTCCATCCCTCTTCCCGATTCTCTTCCACCTCACCTCTTGGAGAGTGCGTAGAGCTCCGGCTCGGGTGTTTGCACCACCTCCTTCCATCTGTGTGCCTAAGTTGGCACTGTTGCTTGTGGGTTGCTTCTTCCCACTAGCTTCCATTGTTTGGGTCTTTGATTGGTGGCTGCAATTTCTAGGGTGCTCTTTGGAGGATGATCGAGTCTTCTGTTCTTCCACTGATGGGGCTTTGCTCGGCTTGATTTCAGGCGGGAGTTGAGGTCGTGGATTGCGGCGTTCCGTTGCGCAGCTGGTGGCAGGCTTCTACGGAGTGTGTGTGGTTTCTCTGTTTTGGTCTCAAAACTCGGTTTGGGTTACTTTTGGGGTCCTATTTTGTTGTGTGCTTATCTTTTATATTTGGGCCTCCTTATGTAATTAAGTTTGTTGTTTAACGGTAATGAAATTACCTTTGACAAAAAAAAAATAAAAAATGGACAACGCATTTTAATAAAATAATAAATAGTACACAATTACTATAACACAAAATTTCCGAACATACACTTTAAGATAGTCATATAAACGTGTTTACTTTTGATGATTGGAAACCAGTAGGAGGCCAAGTCATCATGCCTGTAGTTTCTTTAAAAATACAAGAAGATGAGGGGACATGATATCGATCTCCACATTAAAAACAAGCAGAACTGAATATTGTCAAATCTAATTTAAGGAAAAAAAGTAAACATAATTGTTTAATAGTAAAATTTTGAATATGATAACCCCAATGGGTTGGTCAAGTGGAAAGTGATCAAAGATTTAAAACACCTAACTGGCTAATCTAACTTCGAGCTCCCACAGATGCACTCTTTAGGGCCACTAACTTTGATTTGGCGTGCCGTTTGACATAAGGGTTAAAAGTACGTTGTCGCATTATGTGATACCGAGCTATATATGAAAGGCAATCAGACCACCATTAATGTGTGGTGTGGATGGATAAACTTCTTGAATAGAATCCAGTTCAGGTTATCTCATAACAAATACAAGCTACTATAATTCAAACATACCAATGTTCAAGCATGGCTTGTTTCTCATAAAACCGATCATCATGAGCCGAGGTGTGACAAATCAAACACGAGCCAAACCCAATACAATCTCAAATTGTTTTAAACCGACATACAGTTATATTCCTATTGATGGAAATGTTCACATCTATGTTCCAATTTTTGTATGAATTATATGTTCACATATGTATTCCATTGTTTACAGCCCAGTTCCTTTGCTTTTTTGACGTGCGTAGTAGATTGTAGTTACTAGATATAATTAATGAGTAATCTGACAAATATGAAACGAGTAACACTACAAGTATTACATTTCCATTGTTTACAGCCCAGTTCCTTTGCTTGTTTGACATGCGTAGTACTGTAGTTACTAGATATATTAACGAGTAATCTCACAAATGTGAAACAAGTAATGCTACAAGTATTACATTTTTTATAAGTGTATTATTTTTTTTTAGTAGAGGTAGGATCATCAATACAAGTCGATCTCATTTTTATTAGAAAAGTGGTACAATTACGTCAACATTTTATAGTACTATTCATTTTTGTCCTATTATCTCTATAAAAAAAAAATATAAAATGTTGACGTGGCTTAATCGTGACCACATAAAACAAAAGGGCACGAGAGGGCAGACAATCCTTGTCCCTTGAAGATTGTGGAGGATTCCTCCTCAAAAAGTGATGTGGCTACTCTTGTGTGTATTAATTAAGCAAAGAACAATCCTCTTTTTACTTCTTGTTGTTGTAATATATATTCTCTAAATAATAGTATGCGTGTGTACTAGCGAATCTAGGATTCAAATTTTGGAAGGTTTTAGTGTTAAAGTAAAAGTTTTTAAATAGAAACTAGAGCGTGAAGTGCGCAAATTTTTTTTTTAGTTTATTCATTGAGGCATTTCGTCAAATGATTTATAGGCTTATTGTGTCGGCCAAACCATGTTGGACACATATCAACAGATACCAATATATGCCGAAGCAATCTGATGAGTAATATCGAGAGAGTTTGTTGAGTGCTTTCGACACAACCTGTTGGGAAATGCCTAGCTGACATTCTATCAATCACTTGGTAGACACAAAAAAAAAAAAAAAAAAAAAAAAAAAAAAAAAACCATACCAAACATCCAAAGAGTCCTCAAAAAACTTCACATATATTGTTTCCGGACTCTCAATGTACATCTACCCCTATGTGCGTGTATATATATTTAGTAGGTATATATAGGATCAGGATCCTCTCTTAAGCAAATGGTGAGGATCCTCTTAACCAGGCTCATCGAGCAGTTCAAATTTTATTTAACGGCTATAATTATTATAACTTTTAGAGGAGTCCCATGTTTATAGCCGTTGGATAAAATTTGAACGGCCCGATGAGCTTGGTTAAGAGAATCCTCACCATTTGCTTAGGAGAGGATCCTGATCCGTATATATATCCAATGACCAATGAAGATCCTGATCCGTATATATATCAATTAAATAATGGGTAAGTTGCCCCTTCATTGTCTGTCGAAGCTTGCTTCATACGACTCATATTTTCTATATAAATACAAACTCCACACAACATCAAAGGAAGAAGTACGAGGAAGGGAGAAAAGAAAGGAAGAGAAGATGAGATAATAGAGAGAGTTATTTTTGTACTTCTATTATTCTAAATTATAATGAAAGCACCACTGCTGCCCCAAGGACGTACTCCAGTCACACTGACTATAGAGGAACCTCGTAAATTTTGTGCCTTGTTTCATTTATTCCACTGCACACACCGTCGATTTTACAACATGTTATCAACATGAGAAGCTCTTGTGTCAGTGGAAAGCACAACGTCACAAATTATGTTCACCTCTGTCACCTGGAATCTCACAAATAAGAAAATCTTTTCATTTCATCTTAAAATCTTTGTACTACTGATTTTCCTGAAGCACATATATATATGATGTTGTATGATTGTATATCATCCTTTGCAGAAGCAAAAGAGTACAGACTCAAAATTCGTAGAGAATTTGACAGCCATGTAAACAGCGTCAGAACTCCAACTTGCAAAGATCGGATTGAAATACTTTCTTCTTCAAAATTGTTCATCTGCCCAGTACCTACAACATATCAAATTTTCAGAAAATTCCAACGGTGCAATCATCGCAGATGCCTGAAATACCAAACCAATTTCCAATTTCCGCAGAAAATTGAACAGGCACCTTATCAGTACCAAAACTCCATTTCGGTAACTCAGATCGAAATTGTTTCTTCACGAAAGTTTTTCAGTATCCTTTTATCCATATCATACTAAAATTTGAACTAAATCTAACAGTTTGATATTCTCAAAGTTGCAGACGCTATTAACTTCAAAACTTATGGGAACCGTTTCGACTTTTTCGAAACTCACCGGAGGAGGAACACCAATTGGAACTTATTGTTACTATTATTTCCTGGGTAACTAAAATGACTTCGAACTGTGAAACAATAATAAAAATAAAGGGTATGAAACAAAAGAAGGATGGGCAGTGCACCTGTTGTTCCTTCTTTTATTGCTGATATGTCCTCTGAGCACACCGCTGAACGAGGAAGGCGAGACTGATGAGAAACAAAGAAAGTGCTCAGCTTTCTAAGCAGAGGAAGAAGTATTATGTGGAGGAGCTAGAGGATAAGGCAAAAGCAATGAGACTTTTTGAAAATATAACAAAGAAAATAAATAATAAAAAAAAAAGGAAGAGGGAACATGATGCATCATCACCAAGGAAATAATAAATAAAAAGGAAGAAAAGGTTTGAAAGGGTGCCGACATAAAAAAAAATAAAAATAAAAATAAAAACAAAGGTATGATACCTTTTATTTATGTGAATGGTGTTAGCTTAAAATCATTTTACAAATTCTATTTATTTTAAAGCAATTTATTTACCATAGACGGTTTTACCGCCTACTGATTTAAGTTTTGATTTATGTGAATGGTGTTGAATTAAAGACATTGTCATAAGCTTTATTTACTTAAATGCAATTTATTTACTATAGCTGGAATTACCACCTATTGCTTTAATTTACGTATTGTATTTATCTTTTGTTACGATGAGTATATACAAGACCTGAAATTCCTTGATCAGATCAGAACCTGCAGTTTCTTGATCCTCATCATATAAAATGATTGGACCCGAAGTTCCATCATACAAAAAATCGGGCATGAAATCCCTTGATCCTCAAGATTAGTACATAATAAGTACAGTAAGTTTGAAGTGTCGCAGTGCCTCAACTTAATTGTAATAAAGGCCATAAGAATCTCAGTCTATAAATTATTAAATAAGGACCATAAGTTCCTCATGTCTATACTCAAAATGGTTTAGCAGAAGCATTTATTAAACAGATGAAATTGATTATCCGCGTTCTGCTCACGAAAACAAAATTGCCAGTTTTTACATGGGTACATGCTATTTTACATGATGCATTATTAGTTCGGTTGAGACCTTTTGCCAACCATCAATACTTCTTAGTATAACTCATGTTTGGGCACAAGCCAAACATTATACATTTACGAGTTTTTGGATGTGTTATCTATATGCTTATTGCACTACCACAACGTACTGAAATGAGGCATCATCGCCGATTGGGCATTGATGTTGAACACCATCTATCATTCAATATTTGGAACTCTTGACTAGGGATATGTTTATTATGTGGTTTGCAAACTGTCATTTTCATAAGACAATTTTCCCGCCGTTAGGGGGAGAAAATATCGTTCCAGAAGAACGATGAGAAAATATCATTCCAAAAGAACGATGAGAAAATATCATTCCAGAAGAATGATGAGAAAAAACTGTTCCAGAAGAACGAAGAGAATTTGTCTTATTTTGATTCATGAAGTAATCAACATGAAAATGAAGTAAGAACAATTGAATGATGCAACGATGTATCAATCAAATGCCAGATGCATTTGATGATGCAACAAAAGTGAGGAAATCATATATACTTGCTGCAAATGTGCTTACAAGAATTGATGTCGTCGTTGGACAATATAGTGAGGCAGCAAATGATTTATCTGTTGCACGCCTGAAACGTGGCAGACCTTCAGACTCAAAAGGTTTAGTCATTTCAAAGAAGAAGAATATAACACTACTGAACTATTGCATTCTTGAAGCATAATTGTTGCATGCCAAAAGCATGATCGCCGCATAGATATACGTCCCAGAAAGGATAATCCGCAGACATGGAAATGTTGATGCCTCATGCATGAAGCATGGTAGACGTATAGGTTCCACTGACTCAACTCCTGAAAGTGGAGATTAAAATCCAAACTCTATAATGCTCAAAAGGAGATTATGATCCATATTCTCTAAATTACGACTATCTTGGAAGAGATAATGTAACGCGCTTGAAGAGGCAATGGATATCTAAAAGAAATGAAAAGCTTTTATGCATGCACATGCACATGAGAATATGGGATCACGGATTGGTGATAACCAATGGTAATTTTAGTTTTTATAAGTAGCTACTAAATTCATCAATAAGTTGTGTTGATATTAAGTCCTGTTCATTTTCGTTAACAAAAATTATTGGCCAAAAATGGAGAAAGACAATTCCATTAGAATTTTGTAAGAACGTGGAAAAATGGACCTATATACTTTAATATAATACAAATAGCCAAAACATGTTAAATCAAGGAGGTTACGTATGGACATTTGTAATACAGTGAAATACACTCACATGATATGACACAAGGTTACTAATTGAAACCTGAAATTATACTCTTGTAAACGAGTTCATATGAATGGAGAATTATATACGAAGGGTTGTGAGTCGCCCACATCATATCTCCATAAGTAAATCCCTCAAGTATACATGGGAGCAAATTGCTTTGTATAAATTCCAAAGGAAAATCCTTGAAGGATTCAAAGTGCTTGAAGTAAGCCCCTGAAGAGTAAAGCATGAATTATGTACTCAATACCAATGGATGATATAAATTACCTTAGTGAGTACTATCATTATGATATTGTTGCAACATACTAAAATCTCTCGCAAGAGTCAATGGCATTAAATTAGAACTCCTGAAGAGTCAAGAAAGATTATAAAGTGTTGAGAGGAATATTGTCTCGAGCTGCAGATCGAACAATATGCTAACACAAATCTTATCCATGATGTTTATGGTATTAAAAAATCATATGGATTGAAGATTATGAGTTGAATGCTCAAATGATGTAGACACTACGAATGATCATTTATCTTCGTAAGGGTAAAGATAAATTGATATTTGGTCCAGAATTACCACATCTTAGTGAAGTATATATTTTATTGTATTTAGCACAATACAATGAATGAAATAAAGCTTATCTATTAATATCTTCAAGAAATTACAGATATATGCATATACATAAGTTAAAACAAACAAACAGGATGAGGTCTTCACAAAGGTTGCTCATGTGAATCATCAGTACTCGGCAGTACCCCAGAAGGGGAAGGCACTGGAAATTGATCGTGCGGCACCCCAGTACTTGGCAAAACACCAGAAGAGGAAGACATCAGTTGCCTTCGGAATCTAGCCACGAATCTTTGGTGATCACTTTGAATCCGACTTTTGGATTCTAACAGCTGGTCGAGCTTTCTTTTCATGCTCGTTGAGTAATTATTGGCAAGCACGTGCAATTCTCTATTCTCGTGCTTGAGTCCTCTGATCTCTTGTCTAAGACTTGCCACATCAACCATCAATGATTTAACTTGGCAAGTTTGAGCAAGTAGAGGTTGACCCATATTGGATACATAGCCCATACATTGAACACTGATAGCCAAGGAGTCTTGAACGGCTGACTCATTAGACTGTTTTGAAAGGATTCTGTTATCCTTTGAAGTGAGAAGATTCCTAGCTACCACTGTAGCGGTTATGTTATTCTTCATCACAAAGTCCTCAACTGTAAAAGGACCACTAGAAGATAAGAAAGACGGTATCCTGACGCGGCTCGTCTATATCACTCATAAGACTTAAATCTAAGCAAATGTTAGATAGGCAAGTCATTTTTCAGAAATGATGAAAGCAAAATGAGGTCAAATAAAATCTCAGAAGTTCAAGAAGGGGAAAATTTCTACAGGCAGCAACTTTCTGAGCATACTCTTGAACACAATTGATGTCTCTATAAAAGAAGAGGCAACAAAGCCACTTGTTTAGAGATCAAAGAGGCACCGCTCTTCGAATTTCAAAAGCCAGATTTTCCTGAATAAAGCTTTTTGATACTTTTCAAACACAATGTCAGCTTTTCGGATATTATGTGCAACTTTGTCAAAGATCTCTGACAAAGTTGAAAACGCGTAAATCATTCTAATTACACCACAATTGCTGACAAGAGTAAAGGCACATCACCACTACTTACTATTGGGAATTCCCTATATATGTCGACCTCTGTTCTCCATAACAAGGCAAACCTGCAAGAATACCTAACTCTTCCTCATCTCCGAGAATGCATCTTCAACAAAGCATCTCGACCTCTGTTCTCCACCACCCTTGAATCAAATTTAGCTCTAGATAAATGAAGTAAATTCAGACCTTTGGAGGAAACCAGAAGGCTCTCCAGCCCAGTTGAAGAACAAGCTTGTGGAAAGTCAACAAGCACAACATATATAGTATTACTCATCAGGAGGAGCATCCAAAAATAGATCCAGATTTCAACGAGTCAATCGAAGACTTGTGGTCATCCAAGGGGGAATGTTGTAGAACAGTGGATATAATTAAATAATGGGCAAGTTGCCCTTTCACTGTCTACTGAAGCTTGCTTCCTATGACTCCTATTTTCTATATAAATACAAACTCCACACAACATCAAAGGAAGAAGTAAGAGGAAGAGAGAAAAGAGAGGAAGAGGAGAGGAGATAATAGAGAGAGTTATTTTTGTGCTTCTATTATTCTAAATTATAATGAAAGCACCACTGCTGCCCCGAGGACGTACTCTAGTCGCATTGACTGTAGAGGAACCTTGTAAATTTTGTGTCTTGTTTCATTTATTCCACTGCACACACCGTCGTTTTTACAACAATATATATATATATATATATATATTATTTTCCTTATATATTGTTTGTATATATTTTGGTGGCTATAGTTCACTCTCATTTACTCCTACTCATTCACTTATTTTTGTCATTTGATTTATTCTTAAAACTAACAAAAATGCAAAAATTACTTCCTTAAAAATAAATAAAAAACTTTTTGCACAAGGAAAAGTTTGAAATTAAAAGGGAAGTCATTACTTGCACATACTATGAGTCTATGACTATCATCCTATGTGCAACTTAACTAATGATTTGGGTTATGTGGTGTTTCAGACGGCAAACTGCTCAAGGATTTATTACATGAGGACATGAGGAGATACGGATATCACAGTCACATCTCTAAAAATATTTTGATGCCAAAAATGTAGGAGGTGGAGAGCATTCTTGGTCCTAAGGATTGTAAATATGTAAACAAAAATAATATGACACCACAAGAAGTATTTACAAAGAATCATAAAATAATGGGGAATGAGGTAGAAAATTCAATGAAGAAAACAACAATTCTTCTACAGTTGTAGGTGAGCTTATTGTCACCATAATGTTTGCTGCAGCATTTATAGTTCTTGATGGAAATGATGAAATGATAGGTCTTTCTACATTCTTAACTACAATGGTATTCACCACATTTATAGTTTCAAATGCAATATTCTCACTTTTTTCTTTTACCACTTCAGTAATGCATATTTTTGGAGATTCTCACGCCACGTTATTCATGGAGATAATTATGCAGATCTTTGCCTACAAAAATGATAATAAGCCTTTCCACCCTCTGTTTATGTATTGCCCTCCATGATGCTTGTCTTTTCTTGTGCTATTTACATTACGCTTGACGGAAAACCATAAATTGTTATTACAAGTATTTTGCTTGCTAGTGTTCCAATTGTTATCGACATATTTATTTCTACGTATGGACGAAGAATGTTCGGTGTGAACAGAAAACGCGGTTTAAGTTCCTATGTGATCTTTATTAATTTTGGA